AGATAGATAGATAGATAGATCTTTGCACAGATGGCTTTAAAGACTTTTGGAATGCACTCATATTGCTTGCGGACTATAAGACAGAGAGAAATGTGTTTTCCAGGTCTGTCTCATCTGGTTAACACCCCCAAAGGAATCTCATTAACCTAAACAACATTCCCATAGTGAAAAGGTTAGGGTCTATGAGCCAGTACGAGCATTTGGCCCTTTTGGATCCCTGCACTGAATTTAGTCCACAACCAGGAGAGGTCAAGGCCATCGGGTGAACGCGTGTTGAAGTAATTATGCGGCTGTTGAAATAATTAGTGAGACTCAGAGGTCACCTACTGTGACCTCTGAGTCTCACCTTTTAGTATATTCACTGGAAGACATAAACTGGTAATGCTTAACAATCTCTTCCATCAGTAATGGGGCTGAATCATTTGAATGCCAGCTAGTGGTGTGGAAACAAAAGCTCAAATAGGCTTTTTTTGGTTGAGAGTTTTAGAAGCAAGATAACTCACCAGGAATAAAAAAGAAAGTATATTTATGACATTCATCTGCTCTGGATACAGCAACAAGAGGAAAAACATGTATGTGCCATTATTTAGGCAGTGGTCGAACTGCCAGCATCACAACATTTCAACAAACTCTGCTGTTACCAGCCACTCTTTGTCAAAAAATCTGTATTTCTCCTTCCAAATGAAGAGCGCAGTGTCTCTTCAAAATCAACTCCAATGTTTCCAGCACTGGAAACAGGAGAGCTGAGAATTGCCAGAGAGAGATGTCAGCTTTTACAACATGGCTTTCCCTCCCTTTACTTTTTCTGTTCTTGTCCATTAAGTTGCAAATTCAAGTCTGTGCAGCGCGTGTGTTTAGGAAAGCGATGCTGGGTTACCATGGGAAATCGTTTTGTGTTCCAGGATTTGGAGAAGCAAGGGGAAAATGACAAATACGAATCAGAATCACTTAATTGGCCAAGTGCATTTAATGTAGAAAGAAACTGTCTTTATTACGCTGTTGAAAAAACACCCTAACAACTCATGTGGTGACATACATATGAGAAAAGACACAAGGCATAAGACATAGACTAAACTGTACACTCAGCTGTGCAACATACTCTGAAAATGAACTACATGGATAAAAAGTAATAATCAGATAAATAGGAGAAACAAAAGTATATAAATACTATCAAATTTTATGGATAACATTGCTTCATACAGAAAATAATACAGTATTTATGAGCCTGTTACTCTTCCCTTCTCTTAATCAACAACTTCAGGCCAAAAAATCTGGAGAGCAGATTTCTAGGTCAGTGCATTGCTCTTGTAAAGTAGTAGAGAATTGCAGGAAAAAACAATTCCTCAACCATGTGTTGTTGTGTAACCATCTTGTTGCGCACAGAGAACACGTTGCTTTGACATGCAGATTATATAAAAATCTATTTTGATACACATGTTTGTGACTTTTGTTGCCACCTTCCCCCCTTTTCCTCTCATGCAATCTTTTTCTTCCCCCTCATAGATCATCCATGAGCCCCCACCGCCGCCTGTGGAGGACAGTTCGGTAGGAGCTGCACCGGTCTACATTTGATCTGTTTCTTATGGCTAAAAAAAAAAAAAAACAGCTCATTATTTAGGTTTCAGACAACTGCCAGTGTTTGTGTAATTATTCAAGTTTATTTGGAGATTTTAAACCTCAATGACCATGCAGGTTCATTCACTCGCCTCCTGGCATAAAACTCTGAGTTCACTCATTTAGTGATTCATCAAATGCAGTGTTGGTTAACGCCCTCTTAGATGAACGATGAAGTCCTGACTTCTACTGTTTTTTTCCCCTTTCCTGTTTTAAAGAGGACAATTTTTGTTTTCAAGACTTCTATTCATCTTTTTCAAATCACTTCCTCTGGGGTTCTTTTTGATCTTCATGGAATATGATGTTAAATTAAACTCACTAATTTCACATAGATTTGATCAACAAATTTATGTTATTAAAATACACTGTGATGGCCTAAAATCACATTGCAATAACAGCAAGCAAACATGCGACTGTGGCACGCATCAGGCAGCATTTATTTGCACCAATTAAACTGGAAATTAGGTTTAATTGGTGAATTTATTCCAGAAACTGTCTCCAATGACAACTGTGGCCTCAAAGACAACTTTCAGCCTTCATTTTGGCTTCCTCTGTCTGACATCCTGGTAGATTATGAGTCAGACAGGGTGTATTAAAGAGCTCAAACATCACAAGGTTTGGCCAGTGGGCTTTGTAATTTCCTCTGATCTGACAACCAGCACAGAGGGGACAAAATAGCTGTTGGGTTTGGAGTGGGGAGGGCAGATAGAGAGGTATTTACTTGCCTGGTGACCAGTAAGAGGGCATTTACAGTAGCTCCTATGTGTTTATTTGGTATGTATACATTTATATAAAGACAGGGAAAAGTGAATTTACCCTTTTTTTGTCCCTTATCTCGTTATCCTGATTCATAAACAATCAGAATAAACTACCTACCTTCTGTTACTCTCCCACAGGATGATGAAGACTTTGAAGCCCCTAAGAAAAAATGGCCAACTGTAGATGCCTCCTACTACGGAGGAAGAGGGGTTGGGGGAATTAAAAGGATGGAGGTGAGATCAAAGAAATCTCTGTTTTGTTAATTAAGGGGCTTGAAAGCAATCTGCTAAGATATTACAGGCTTACAGGTTGGTGAAAAGGCATCTCTAACTAAGGACGTTTGATTGATTTAAGATGATAATACTTCCAGAAAGTTCAAATAACAGTTAAGCTTTCAGCCAAACTCACTTTAATTGCAACTACACTGAAGCATCTCTATGTATTTCAGGTCTGACAGATTCACTATTTCCTGACCATCTTCCTCCTCATTTACCAATGATGTAAAACATTTAAGGTAGTGTGTGGCACCTTCTTAAAACTCTCCATACTATTAGGTTCGCTGGGGTGAAAAAGGCTCCACCGAAGAAGGAGCAAAGCTGGAAAAGGCCAAAAATGCCAAAGTGAAGATGCCCGAGCAGGAGTATATGCCGCCACCCATGCGAGTTCTCAACAACGGCATGCACAAACCCCCAGGGCCCCGAAAGTGGTACTCACCCATCAAGGTATCAAACAAAAGCAGGCAGGAGGAAACTGTCAGGGGAATGTGTTCGGCCTGCAGATGCTCTTTCAAGTCTCATTGTTGACAACAGCTACAAATGGAAAACATATAGGAATTATGAGTTTCAACTGTCCAATGTACAACATGAGAAATGGTGGAGGATTTGTGAGTTATTTGTTCAACAAGTGTGTGAATATAGCTGAGCTTACATTTAATTAATAAAAGCATTCATGATTGTTAAATAGCTCTGCTGGGACAAATGCTTTCTTCAGCTGTTAGCATGTGTACAGCAAGAAACAACATCTGTTACAAATTACTCCATGTTAATCTGGCTAAGGATATGTAACTAATAGCATTATTAAAATGTTGTAGTGAAAGTAGCATGAGATGTGTTAAGGTAATAATGCTTAGGTGACTACTGGCACACAGTCCCTTCCTCCAGGGCCAGCATGGGGTTAAAGGAGTCATTCCGAAGCCTTCCCAGTCAGCAGGGGATTGCTAATAGAAACCAGACTCCTGTTGGACTGACCTCCAGGGAGCAGGGCTGCACAGCCAGCAGTTTTGTGAAGAAAAACAGCTGCATTTTCTGCCCTTATCCTCAAAGTATTTGCTGTTTAAAAAGTATGAAGAGTCAGTTCACAATAAACTGAAACCATTTCAGTTTGTCACTGTGAAGAGGCTGTAGGAATTGGATAATACTTACTGGTCATTTAATTGCAGCTCGAGTTAGTGTGGAATGGAACCAGAAAGCTGATGAAGTTTTTGACAGTTGTTTTTCCCTAAATAATAAATGTAATTTAAGATTATTGTATTGGTTTTTGATTTCTTCTCTGTTTCCACAGAGCAAACTGGATGCATTGTGGGTGCTTTTAAGAAAAGGCTACGACCGTGTGTCTGTAATGAGACCTCACCCAGGTGACAAGGTAAGAATAACTCAGGTTGGCATTAAACCATTAATAAGACTGTATTTTACCGACTCACGTAATGCCTTGGCTGTGTGTTAGCGTTTGGCAAAAGAAGACATTTTTTTTGTATCTGAAAATGTTGAGAAAATGAACCAGCTGTGAGCAATGAAGTGTGCGCAGAGAGACTCATGGGAAAACTTGTGGTGAGTTGGGATTTAGACTGCAGTGTCTGGCTACAGTACACTGCGATGTAAAGCCGTCTGGGGAAGTCATTATAAAAAGGCAAATGTAATTCCTCAAAGGCCAGCTGTAGTGGGGGGATAACAGTGTGATGACCTCTACTGTTGGCAGCTGACATGTAGTCTGAGACTGTGGGATCTACAAGTGTTGAAAAAATTAGGAAGTCAAGTCTGAGGGTTTGTTTATAATAATCCATCGCCTGCATGAATTTATGTAATGCTTCATCTTTGCCTCAGTAAGAAATGTTAATCTAAGAGCAGCCATTAGCCTAAAAGTTAGAGAAGATCTTCAGAAATTTAAAAGTATATCTAAGTAATTTAGCATATTTTTTAGTCAAGGTTACTTTACTGTTTTGTGTAATTTAAAGTATAATAAGCCAGCTTTTATTGTGAATGTACAATCCAGAGAGTGATGCCTGCTGTTAAAAACAAGCCTTTGTATATAGTCTGGAGAAGAGCTGGTCCTATTATTTTTATAGTTCTATAGGGTGGCACACAGCTGTTTTGACACTCAAGTCTTATATATATACCATAGTATAATATATAGCTGAAATGGGAGGATGAAACAATGCTCATGTGGCCATGACTGGGGGATGTCATCATTGTCAAGCACTGCTGTTTCAACCCAAAGGAACGCAAGTAGAGAAAGAATAACAGGGGCCCAGTTTCCAGCAATAAAATGTGTTGTATTTGAAGCTGTGAATCATATGTGATATGATGCAACAAGCTGACAGAATGCCATGCAATCAAACAGTGTTTTAAGTCTGACGGTTCATTTTAAAGCATTTTATTGGACTAGCTGACATCACATCTGACTAACAGAAAATCAGATATTATACAGCCACAGTGCTTAAACACAATGACACACTTACACACTACACACATGGATTCTACAAATATAGTATTATGAAGTATCTGGAGTAAAGGCAGCCTCAAATTCAGCCTATAAAATCTGGAATTGAGAATCAGAACGGGATTCAATCTGCTTTCAGGACATTTTGTGTTTTATTGCAGTTCAAAAGGAATGCATTGAGGAAGTTGCAGAGTAATGCGACTAAAGATTGATTAAACTTTCTCCAACAAGCAGACACAATTATTGACATTAAAAGTATAAAACAGACTGAGCTGAGTTTAAGACACATAAGCTCTGTTATCCACAAATGCTTTTAGACAGCATAAAAGCCTTTACCTTCAGTTGATCTCTACAGCAGCAGGTACATTTGGATAGCGCTGTGTAGCCTTTATGCACACTGTAGAAATGGTCAGTCTTTGTAAATGATGAATGAAGTAAATGTTTTTGAAAAAGCTTCTCTCTCACCAAAACTTGTGTGCACACGATAAGAATATATCTTGCAGGATTTTGTAGATTTGACTAGAGATATGCATATGGATATTAATCCAAACCTTTTATATTTGCACATTGTGGTGACTTTTAGTATCTCCACAACCTAAAATGTGCATCACACCTTACATTAGGCACCTTCTCATTAGCATAAGTAAAAATGATATAGCCCTTATTGGCTGTGAAAAACTTCCTTAGATTTACAAAATATTATACAAAGGACTGAATACACCATGGATTTAATCCTGTAGAGATATTGACGTAGATATTTGCTTTTGTGACCAAAAAAACATCATTGTCCATCGTGTGCAGATGGAAATTTGTCTTTGCTGTGGCTCACACAGGTATACATATAATAAAATTTCACATTCTGAAAAAGGGACACCAACAGCACACATTTATTAGTGAGAGGAAGATTATTAGTAAATAAAAAAATTTACCCACATAACACAGGCAAAGAAAGACACTGAAAAGCAGAGACAGAAAGAGAAATTTAGAAAAACACCACAGTTCTTGGAGGTGAAAGAAGAAAGAAAGGGAAGGAACTCACAGGACAAAGATTAAAAAGAGAAGGACTTGAAAGCATGTGTCCGTTAAATGTCAAGTAGAGAAGGACGATAAGGCCATGGGAGGAAGAAAAGAAGACTTAAAAAAATAAATTTTGGAGCCTCTACTGTGCAGTAAAAAATAAGTCTGAAGTGCAAAGCGTAAGAGAGGACTTCCTCAAGACTCGCTCATTCTGGGAGGTGAAGGAGAAGGGGAGCGCTCACCAAGACGAAGATAACTTGAAAAAGGAGGACATGAGCATCTTAAATGAGATCTTCTTGAAGAAAAATTAACTCCTCCCAGAGGAAAACAAGTTTCCACAGGAAATCCAATAAATCCATAAATCCAATGGTCTTGAAGGCAGAGCAGGAGAACTTGGAGCAGGACACAGAAAGGAGATGAGAACGAGAACTGACCAGTCCAAGGAGCAGGAGGAGGAGAAGGCTAGTCCCAAGGCCTACTAAATGAACTTCGGCATGTTCAACCAATGATTAATGAACATAAGAACGAGTTTTAATCCCAGAAGAATGAGGATGAACTTGGATAGCTGAAGACAAATTAGGGTTGTCTTGTTCTGTGCAACAACAACATCATCAGGAAGATGAGGTCAGAGAAAGAAATGGCAGACATCCTTAATGCAACTATTGGGGACTTAAAATACAGGTTCAAGAGAGAGAGAGAGACGCACAGCAAGTTTAAGGGATAAAATGAAAAACACCATGTGGATAAGAAGAGGGCCTTGAAGAGCAGGGAGGACACAGTAAACACAGCAAGGAGGCAAAATAGATGGAAACTCAGGGGTGAGATTGCACAAGAGACCATTTTGTTTCACTGTTTTTGTTAGTCCCAGTTTGTGTCTCTAATGCAGGGATCTCAAAATGCCGGCCATTGTGCCATTTCCAGCCCTCCATCCCCTTTTTTAAATAATAATATTTTTTTCTAGTTGTTCCATATCAAGTTAAGTTAAGTCATACCTTCTTATACAAATAAATATATATTTTTTTATTATTCTATCTTCAAATCATTTGGCAAAAAATAGTGGCAAATGTCAAAGGTGCCTGCCAGTGCATCCAAATGGTTGATAAGAAGAGAGCAGGATCATTTATTGATGATGATGATGATGTAAAGTGATTGTATAAATGCTGTTTGCATGTTAGTAATATAAATATTTTTAAGAATATTGCGCTTTCTTGAAATACTCAGTTAATATAATTATATTAGTAATAATAATAAATTATGTTTCATTCCAAATGAGATCACACATTTGTCTCCTGCATCACCTTTTCATTTTTCGTTCAGCAAGTGTAATTTAAGTATATATACTTTGTACTAAAGTTGGCTTGGCTACAACAAGCAATAATTGTGGTTCTGGTAAGATAACAAGTTGTGATATTACGAAAACTTGGCTATGGCATCTTTTCAGAATGACCTAATGTTTATTTGTCAACCAGTCAGCAAGGTAAGTGTATCTTGCGCCCAGGTTATGTGTAGTGCAGTTACATACTGAGGAAATGCACTGGCACTCTATGCTCAGTTTATGTAGAGGAGCAAGGGAAACTCATTGGAAACCTACTGGAAAGTAATCAGCCTTGAAGGGAAGCTTTAATATGGACTAGCTAACCTTACTGCACTCAGTCAAACAATGTCAGAAAGTTACATTCCTTGTTTTTACCCCCGTACAGTAAAGCACAGCTAACACACTGCTCTATAATTACAAGTGAGTCCTCCACACCTATAAAGCTCTTCATTAGTGCAAAAAAGCTCAGCTCTAGTATCCTTCATGGTTTGCAGTAAACAAGCTTGTTCTGGTTGCAATTAAGAGTCTCTTGTCAAAGCCATGCTTTTATAACTTCCCCTAAATGAATGCAGTGGTGGGAGGGGAAGAAGACCAGTTGATCCTCCTGCCTGCCTGAGAGAGAAACCCAAGTCAGGTTCCTGTAACGTGTCATATATTTCTGAGCCTCTAAAGACTGGTGTGTTCTGAGTAATTAGTAAAGGGAGTCAAACACAGGGAACAGCAGGTTAAAAACTCAACATCAGTTATCTTAAAACACTTAACTATCACATATATTTTCTTCAGTATTGACTGGCTTTTAGGTTAGCTGTAGCTACGATACAGTGCAGGACTCCAAGAGACATTAAGTTGATATTCACTGTCCCTCAGGCACTAAAGGAATAAAAATATAGGTTGAGTTTATTGTGTTGTGTGACATGCAACATCTTGCCTGGTTTTATCTCAGAGGTCATTTCGCCCCCGCTGGTAAATGAGAGGCACAGAGCAGCGCTGTCATCCTTTATCAGTCCACCACAACTCCCTGATCCCCTCAGTGCAGCTGCTCCCGGGGTGTAAGCTTGTTTCTGGAATACGATAGTCTCTGTTGCATGACCTCACTTTGGTTTGGACTGGGAGAGAGTGGTGGCAGGTTATTTTGTCAAGCTAAGTGGAGCATGCACATAATTGCCTATAACTAAAGCTGTGATTGAGAATTGCAGCATATGTAGAGGTTTGCTGGCTCATGTAGGTGTGTGTGGACAGTACCATCTGCTGTAGTCATCAGTCCATTCTGATTTGTTTAGAGAAGAGGGACATTTTTATATCTTAGACTAATTCAGCTGTCAAAGCGGGGAAGTTGTGCGTTTTGTCAAAGAAGTAAGACTTTAGAATAGAAAGGTCATTTTCCAAGCTCCAGACTATAAAACAAATGTGTTTAACCAAAGAGGCATAATGAGACACAAACACAGCAGTTAAAAATATAATATTCATTACATACAGTTGTCATACAGAACATTTCAGGTTTGGTCGCTGTTTTTAAGACCAGTTTAGTACGTTTGGTGTTAGATAAAGACGGTTGTCTATCGCTGCTATGAAACTGACAAAATGTAGTAAAGGTTTATCAGTAAAAGTCTAAAATATGATATGTCACAAATATATGATATTGTTGGTTAAATAACTAAAATGGAGTGTAAAAAGAATTGAACTTACTTTTTGTTTAACCTCCCATCTACTGGTAAGAAAAGATGTATCCTTTTTCTTTAATGAACAAAATAAATGAAGACTTAATCCATTTCACTGATAATTAAACTGTTAATTACTTTACTAGCTCATTTGTTGTCTGTTGTGAAGTTTTAATGGATTTATCTAGCAAGCTGTTAGCATTAGTTTGTTAGATTAAAAACCGTTAGCTCAGCAGTATGCTGTACTGTATGTGGTTTCTGCTAACAATCCCACAATGCAATGTGCTGCATTTTATTATTACTATTTTTACAGTTTGTTGTTTATCATCGCCATACATTCCTCTAACATCTAGTCTGTTTTCACATTTCAGGGCAGATGCATGAACTTCACCCGCATGAAATCTCCCCCTCTTCAGTACCCGCACTACCACCAACCATCTCCCATCTACAACCCTCCACCTGCGCCGCAGGGGACCCTCCCATCGACTCCCAGCACCGCTCCATCATCTCCATCGTTCTCCTCTCTCACCCTTCCGCCACTGCCTCCAACCCCTCCTCCTACCTCCACCACTCCCTCCCCTCCCATCACACCTCCCCCTTACACGCCACCTCCCAACCGGGCTCTGCCTCCGACCACCCTGCACATACCCGCCCCGCCAGCGCTGCCACCC